TGGCGAGTTTTCACTGAATTCTGATGTTAACAGTTGACTAATTTCACAAATGCAGTCCTATTATATCTAAATGTGAAATAGAATTTGTTATTCCTGCTTTTATTTCCTCTCACCTTAACTACTGCAGCTCACTGCCTTCTCCTCGGGTTGTCTAGCACTCATACAAAATGCTGCTGCAAAGCTCCTTACCAGCTCCTCCATCCTTCAGCTCCTCACATCACACCTCTGCCCATCTCACTGCACTGGCTCCAGAATCCAATTCAAAGCTTAGGCTTTCCTCTTTGGGAGTCTGCATGATGAAGCACCCACTTTTGCACACCTCACCGGGACTCTCAGGTGTTGATCAGGACTAGGGATTAAGACTAAAAACTAAACGTGACAGAGCCTTTGCAAGTGTGATCCCCCGCTCTCTTTGCAACACTCTGCCCTCCTGTGTCCAATCGACGAGCAGTTTTTTATCAGTTTCTTATTGAACTTGTGCTTTTTTCATATCTTTCAGAAAATGCAAGTAAGTAGACCTTGAAATGGAAATATTCTATCAAACTTATGGATGAGGACCTTGTGATATGGTTGAACATGCTGGAAACTTGCTGTAGTCTCAGTGAAACCTTTGTTGTTTTCTTAACTGCATATTCAACCCTCAATTGTGGGCACCCTGAGTCCCTGATGATAATTTTAATCTACCATGAAGTATTTCTTATGTGTGTTACTAGAGGTCCACTGATCGCCCTCTATCCTGACTGTATGCAGCCTCTCTGCGTGGCCATATTTTGAACTTTTAAGAGGGCATATGACCTGCTAAGATTCGTAAGTCACCAGCAAAACAAGTATGCATAAGCTTCTGTAATCCAGTCACAGTTCTAAATCAGAGAGCTGTTATTGGAATATCTTGTGTATTTTTCCACTGTTTAAATAGGACTGTAACTTCATTACCTTAATATACCAAAGTAATCCCCAGTGTTTTGAGTAAATTCCTCGCCTGTGAAGTAAGTAAACTAATTGCTCTATACCAATTTGTCATGGAGCCCGCCTATCTTAGCACCTTGGTGGAAGAAGATGTGAAGACTTATGAATGAATGGAGTGACTTGCAGGACAACGATTGCAGCAGCTTCTCCACAGCTTTAATTTGAACGTCTTTCACTGACTGCGGATGAGGAGGGGAGGGGAGGTGGTCTGAAGGGGGGTGGGGGTATTGTGAGTTGAACAGCAGAGCCCCACTCTGGCTGAATGGGTATTGTCATCTGGATTTCTATGGCTAACCAAAATACTTTCTCCCGCCGTGGGGGTTGGTTTATGGATTCATGATGGGAACGGCAAGTCTTACACACAGCTATGGAGGGCACTCCTGCCCTTGCAGACCATCCTAACTCAGACTTTAGCACTAAAAAAACACTTCAAATGAGGATTATATACAATATATTCAGTTTAATCTTAATAAAATGAAACAGTATTGCATCTTCAGATACATGAATATGGAATCATTACATCAAACATCAATAACAGAAAACAAAGTTTATTTCTGGAAATTGTGAAAAAACAAAAGACTTCCTGCAATGAAGGGAAAGTTGCAGGTTCTCGAGACTGTAGCCTACACTGTATCTGTTGCACATTTTCATGTCACATATAGGCCAAATCTCCAGAATCTACAGGTCCAAAATAAGAGCAAACCTCAAAGCCACCCCACTCCTATTAACTTCTGAGCAAAACAAAAGCTTATCTGAGATTTATGAGGGCTTTGACACAACATTTTACTTTGACATTGTTGTCAATTGTCCCCCTAAAGGAAACTGGTCTTTGAACGCGTGGGAGTGCAAACATTCTCAGTTACTGTACAAGGTTGTGCTGACAATGCACATCAAGGCAAAAGAACAGCCTATATTTTTCGGTGGCTAGAGTTCCTCAATAAAAGAAAAAACAACAACAACATGTAGTTACAGCAGTAAACAATTCAAAATACTAATAATTTCGAGAATTTACAAAGCTGGTACCTAAGAAAGATACTCTTTTTTTTATATACGTCGTGAGCTACCTCCTGTAGTTGATAGTCTTTGTTTAATCTCCTGTAGACAGACACATAAAGGACGTGGTCCAAGCGTATTGAAGGGCCAGTGTAAAAACAATAGAGGTGGTTCCACTGATTTTCAAAGTTCAAATTTATGAAAAAAAACAAACAAACTGCTGGTGCAAAGATAAAGTCCGTAAAAAACAGTTTTTTCAAAAGCGGCAGGTTCACTATTAGGCGTCACCTCCTGGGAGCCACATAGCTACACATAATTCCTCTTGTCATAGTCCCCGTTCTGCGTGGCGGCTCTTTTGGTCTGTGCGTATTTTACTGAATATCCCGAGTTCCCGGTGGAAGGACAGGAGCAGCACAGCAGCGCTCCTCCGATCAGCAGCAGCGCTGTGGCCGCCCAGCCGATGTAGAGCGCAGCGCCGATCTCCCTCTTCTTGGATGCGGGCACCTGCGGGTTGTAAAAGTCCGATATAATGTTGTTTGCCATCCAGCAAAGGGGCACGAGCACAAACAGGCCACTGAGGATGTAGATCACCCCACCGGCGTTCACCACCCGAGCTTTGATGTACTCAGTGCGGATACAGTTGGTGCACTGTGCCCCCGCAATCACAACCATGAGACCCAGCACTCCCATCACGGAGGAGATGATGGTGAGCGCTCTGGCCGCCTGCAGGTCGTGGGAGAGAGCGAGGACGGAGTCGTGCACCTTGCACTGCATCTGCCCCGTGCTCTGCACCACACACGACATCCACAAGCCGTCCCAGAGCGTTTGAGCCACCACGATGTTGGCTTCGATGAAAGCCGTCACCTTCCACATAGGTAACCCGCACGCAACCATCACCAGGAGCGAGCCAATTACGCACATGGAAAGTCCCAAAATCTCCAGTCCGGCCGACACCATTTTCACTCTTGTTATGTTCAGTCAGGTCCGCGTGAAGGTGCTTAAACTCTCCGCTTGTTTTTCTCCTTGAAAGCAAAGTGCTGTTTTTGCTTTTGTCTTCTTCCTTCTCAACTCGATACAGGAGGGTGAGTCTTTAGTCTCGCATCACTCGTTACGTTTACGCAGAGATGTAAGGCAGCAGCTCCCAGTCTCTTTGTTAGCGAGGGGATGTGAAAACAACTGGAATCACAGTCGCACCGGACCACGAATATCTGTGAGGTGGGGTGTGTGGACTCGGAGAGAAACTTTCCTCCAATCCGCTGCGTCCGCATCCTCAAGGGACCAATGAAAGCGCAGGGAAGTTGACCGACTGAATAAAGCGGTCCAGAGCGCATTGTGCGTTTGAACAGTTATTTACAATGAATAGAGGGGGCGGGAGAGGGGTGAAGAGATTTTATGGCAGACCTCTGTGTGCGCGTTAACGTTGTGGAACAGCTGAAGTGCAGTGGTGTGATGAATCACGGCACTTGCTATTGATTCTTCAGACATGGAGGATAATGCAACTTGTCTGTTGGGTATAATTATCATTTCACACCTATTCTCATAGGAATATTATATTTGTCTAACCCATTAGTCGGAAAAGAAGTACAAATCTGACTTTTAAATATGTCCACTTATCTTTGAAGTACAAGTACAACAAGAGGTTTTTTTTTAATGCTTTTCTTTATTGCTGTTGTTTTTACTTAATTTCACCTTCATCTTCAGTCAATCGTTTGCAGTCAACTTGCACTTTTAAATAGATTATTTTAAGTTCATAAACTATCTACAGCTAATTTTATATGTTTAGTGTTTGGACTGGAGGGTTTGCGCCCAATGACTGCAATGAGTTGACTTTTCCTGTCAAGTGCCCTTGGTGGCGCAGGCAGATTTCAAATTCTAAAAGCCTCACACAGGATTCATACAGTCCTACCAGCACAAAGTGGAATTTTACTCCAGGATATGTTCAGTGTAGCAGGCTTGATTTGAACTTGGGAGAACTTTTAATCTGCTTAAGGTGGTACTACCAAAATATAACTCTCAGTGAAAGAATTGTCTTGGCTGAGGGATTTTAAATAACAAATACAACAAGTAGAGAAGTACTTTATTTTTTTTAAAAGGCCAAATGAATACAAATCAAAATCATTAGTAAATGTGTTACAACACTGTAGGTAGGCCCAGGGACCCACTGGATGACTTCTGAAAATATGAAGAGTGACAATTTTGGGTTTTTATTTTTCATTTTATTTTCACAAGTTTTATAGCTTTTCTTCCTGACAATGAACTCCCTCATAGCCATTCATACAAGACCAAAGTAATTAAGTAATAGATAAACAATTAACTGAAAGAAAAGTTCCTGTTCTTTCACTTAGAATCGAATTATGTGGCCCACGATGTAAAATGAGTGTGACATCCCTGATATAGACAATAGCCTACTTTCTTATGCAAAAACCATCACAAACATAGCAAAAAACATACTTCTTTATCTTTTAATGTCAGTTTTTTGCACTGCATTGTGCACTTCATTTTAATGCCATTTGATATTTGCTGTGCTATTCCCCAGCTACATTTTACAAGTCATATTTACATCTATTTCCTGTTTTACTTTAATGTATAATAAAGTAAAATAAAACATTAAAAATGTCAATTTAATTCCAAATTTAAATGCTAAAAATTATTTATTTGAATATATACTTATTTTTTGCTTTATGGTATTTAATTTACTTTTATTTCAAATTCGTTTTTTTTTAAAATTCTGTTAGCCTGTAACTTTGTTTAGCTTTTTTTCTGTTTAGCAGAATTTACCCACTTTGAGATAAATTAAGCGATTCTCTCATCGTTAACATAAGATTACATAATTCGGCGGATTCTTGGGAAACATTATAACATTTTTAATAAGATAGTCACAACTTCTATCGCATAGTTGCATATTTAACGGTTTCCACGGCAGAAAGAAAAACCGTTACAAGGTAAAGTACCAAAGAAACTGTTCCGCTGAAGTAACCATATTGGTTCTGCCTAATGATACATTCCTACTTACGCCTTTCTAGCAGTTGAGCCGAAATGGCGTCAGTGGCGCTGTACGGTAGCCGTTGGTAACGAAAAGACACTGGGACGAGGGCGGACTCAGGGAAGCGGTTTCCGGGTCTCCCTTCCTGGGCTGGGACAGCAGAGAGAGACGAAACGCTCCGGTGGCTTAATAGCATTTCAAAGGTACGGACAGGTAAGGTACTGCTCGGTTGTTTGCTGTTATTATGATATATAGATTTTTTAACTTTAAACAGTGTAGCGACTATTCGATGGAACCCTAAGGGAGACAAACCGGACAATCAGTTTGAAGACTTGCTGGCAATATGACACCAGCCGCGGTAGCAACTGTTGCATGCTAAAGTTTGACATGTAACACAGTTTCATCGCTTTTGTAGACCCAACGTTGGTTTATCGAGTAAGTTTTTAAAGAGGAAACTATTTAAGGAACTACTGTGTTTACTTAAGCTGGGTACAGGCAAATTGCAAAGTCATTGTCCCAGTAGCAGATATTTGGAAAACTCTGTGAGTGTCTGACAGACTGGGTGTGGTGGACATCTGACTGTTACAGACACTGAGGCCTTCACACACGTTTCAGACTCCCCCTGGCCAGTGACTAAAGCATTATATTAAATTCTCCTTCATTATTTGACACAACTGTCCAAATAAACACTTCCCCTTCTTCATGTTTTGAAAAACAGCTGCGCTACCCACTGCTTTGAGCTCATTTATTGCCCCATGGCCCAACTACTGGGAAGCTTGCTACACTTCACTAGGCTTAATCAATTCATAAATCAGCACCATTAAAGAACTTTGCTCCAGATTCCTCTTGTGTACCCTTCCTGACCTCTGCACTTGCTTTCTAACATGCGATTATTCCATGACCTTTGGTTATAAAGCACATTTCCAGAAAAGTAAATTTTGCCTTCAGACATCTTTAACAATAACAGAGGGAAACGATAACACATTCTCATTATGTGATTGTCTAAGATGTGGCTGAGGGCCACTATTGAAGAATTGTCATCCATCTTTGTTGTGTTTTGGACTGGGTGAAAACATGCATATTTCACTTCCTTTCTTGTTAAGTGGTGAGCACTATGGCAGACTCTGCAAGCTGTAATCTCAAGGCGGCAGCTGCCCCTTACTACAGAAAACAAGTAGGCTTTATGGCCAGCTGGACAGAGATCAATTTGATATTAAAAGAACAACATCTTCCCGTAATGAAAGACGCCCCATGGCTCAAATCAAGCACCTTCACCTTTCTCTGACCTTTCCCCTTCCTCCGACTTTATCTCACTAACACAGTCCAACAGGGATCACGTTTGTTTGAAACTACACAGGGATGTTTCCGATCGTTTTGTGCTGCGGTGTCAATGGAAAGGCAAAGCTTCATTCACACCAGCAGAGCCAAATGGACTGTGGGTACTGCTGATGCGAAACTGCAGGATACTTTTCAATTAAGCTGGACTTGTGTCAAAATGTGATTTTTGTTTTTACATAATGTGAATTTTTTTTGCAATAATGTCTTTTTGAAATGTCCTAAAAAAGATCCATTTGAATAGTAAAACAGAACAAAAATAAACAGGAGAACACAGTTTTAGCAGTTTCTACACTGCCAAACACACTGATGTAAAGTTAAACAGACACATTTTTGAAGATAAGTTGACCCAGTAATGTTGTCTTGTTACCAAAACAAATGATAAGAAAATGATATCAATGTGGATTGCCACATTAATACAAACATTTTGTTTATAAGTTTTTAAAGTAACCTATACCTTTCCTTATTTTCTGGTAATTAACTGATTGAGGTAATCATTTGATTGAGGTGTGTTGACTCAGGGTGATATCTAAAACCTGCAGGACACTGGCCCTTGAGGTCTGGAGTCCCCCATCCCTGACTTTTAAAAAAATTATTATTAAGAATTCCTCAAGTTTCAAATATTGAGGGCATATGTTTAATTTACCCATGTTATCCAGAAGCTTAGGCTTATCTGGATGAGGTTTTTGTTTTATTCTTGCATTTATTAAGATATTCTTTATTTTGTGTTGCTGAAACCCAGAATAAACATTTCTTCAGTTTGTTTTATATGTACAGCTAGTTAGAAACTTGCCTTGAATACACAGCATGATTTTACACCACCAGTTGTATGAAATAGAAGCAAACCTTTTGAGTGTGAAAAATTAAGCCTTAAACCTGCAGCATTTCTAAATGTCAGCAGGCCTGTTAATTTCCCTTGATTGTAGTTGGCTGTCAAAAAGACTTCCGATAAACATCAGTCCTACAGTAGTCTATGGGAAAATGGGCCTAAGTAAACACAGAGAGAATTTTAATTTTGATGATTTTAAGTGTCAGAAAGGAGGCTTAGCCTTGCAATTTTCAAGCTATTAGCCAATTAACTTCCAGTTTCAAAACATCAGAGCTTCCTAACAGGACTTCGTGACTTTATGTTGGTGGGATTACAGGAGTTGCATCCATCTTTTATACTCCAGGCCTCGAGGGCCGGTGTCCTGCAGGTTTTAGATGTGTCCTTGATTTAACACAGCTGATTTAAATGGCTAAATTACCTCCAGTTCAGGCCTGGTAATGAACCAATCATTTGATTCAGGTGTGTTGACCCAGGGTGAGATCTAAAACCTGCAGGACACCGGCCCCCAAGGCCTGTGGCTGTAATTATACTCCGCTGCAGATGGAGATGAAAAATTACAACAGTTCTAAATGAACCCAAACATCTTTTTCTACATGATGTTTTTATGCATATGATGTATAGAGACAGATCTTTGATTGGCTAATATTGGCTGAGTATATTGTAAGACAACTATAGAGAAGATTAGTGCTTTTTGATGTTGGAGAAAGTAGTTTTGCAGTGTGATGTTTTTGAAATAAATTTTAAAAATGAATGCACTTTACAATCAATCAGTGTGGAATTTGTGTTGTGATTTGATAAAAGGCTTTCTACAAATATTATTATGGAGGTTTAATGGGAGGAAATGAGCATGGAAATGAACAGGTCATATTACCTGCACCTTTAACTGTGCACCAGTGTACAGCAGCTGTGAGTATTATAAAGATAATATTTTGTTACTGAATGGCTCCCACTTGTTTTGAGTAATTTCCTATGTTGTCCTCATTGTCATAAATCATCCTAAGCATTAAACTCTGTGTGTGTTATGAACAGTCCTGGTGGTTTGCCTGTGGTCGAAAGGCTTTCTTATTCCGCCAATTGTGGCTTTTTTTCCTCTCTGTGGGCTCATATTTTTAAGTGTTTCCAAAACCACAGCTTAAAAGCCTGTGTCATGTCTTTATTACACCACTTTGGCCCACCATTCCTACCTTCAGACCCCCAAGGGCTGCTTAATTACAGTCAAGCCCCCTTCTCTGTGTGTTGTATTGTCTACGTGTGGAGGTCTTTTGCCAAACATCACTTTATTATGCTCAGCTGCTCCGAGGTTCCTGTTGCTTTGATCAGTTGCCACTAATTTACCATTTTTGTACTTATGCCACTGACTTCATAAAGTCTCCACATTATTAAAATCATTGTTTCATCTTTTTCAATAAGTTCAGAGAGGCCTTAATCCAAGAAGAGCGAGTCTGCAGACCTTTGACACTGCCTGTCAGGGAAGGTGAATAGTTCTTCTAGCATTGCTGGTCCTTCGTGGCTTCATTCCAGCCAATAAATCAACTGTAAATGCATTACATGCCAACAACTTTGGCTTTCTAAGGTGGCATTTTTCCCTTTTGGCCCTAACTGTTTAATCTCCCCCATGTCTGGCCCACTGATGCCAGTGTGTATGTGTATTAAGAGCGTATTATTGAAGTGTGCCTCCCGCCTGTCTGTCCTGTAGTGTTGTCTTTGAGAGATTACAACTGAGATATTGGACCAGTTTAATTAATCTGCTGCTGGTCTAATGCTGGTTCCCACAGAGCCTGAAGAAGAATAACACTTAAGAGTGTGTGTGTATGTGTGCAACACAACTGAATGCACTTGTGTGGGCTGCTGCTTTAACTCAGATACTCATTAACTGTAAAAACACATTATTAACTGTCTTTGTTGTGTTTTTAGGCCTGAAACAAATGATTTTGTAGGTCATGAGTTGTGACCATAGAGTGTAACCATGGTGTCACCCACCCGGTGTTTAGTATGTGTAGTGTCTATTGGGATTTGCTCAACCTCCCTCAAACTGTGGGTGATGTGTACATACTCCAAACATGGCAGCACTGTGCCAGCAATATTTATGTTTCCACAATGTGCTGGCTGGCCTGTCATGCAGTTTCCAAGACTAAAACCTTAGTAAAAGTGGTTAGCTCTCAGTAGCCTCCTTAGGGGGAAAAAAAAAGGGCGCTGATATTCTAACACTACCAGTCTTGGTCAGAAAGCTGCATTCACTGACTTTGATGCTTTGCGCCACTATGAGGGTAACGTTTCTGAATTCTTGAATATATTGCTACTCTTTCAGGATGTATGGCTGCTGATTGGCTGTCTATTAAATTTTCCTGTCCTCCTAATGTATTCAAATTTCTGAAACATTTTTAATTTTTAACAGTACTTGCAAAAATAACAAGAAGCAGGTGGTTTTCTGTTTCCAAATTCTTCACTCTGTATTTAGTGGTGACTTGAGCAAAATTCTGTCATGGATTTGATTATTATAACCACTTATTTAATTTTGTATTTATTCATCCGGTGCAGCCAGAGGAGCTCTGATCCACCAGGGCTTGGCCAATGGGAGATTTTGGTTTGCCCTCTGTGTCTGAAAGAGTAGATCCTTGGGAACTCAAAAGTGTAGGTTGGAATCTTTGAATCTTTAGCTTGTTCCAGTCATCCTTTCTCATTCCAAAGCATTACGTGATGCAATTATATTAGAGGGTGTATTCATCTCACCATTGTGTGAGTACACATGGTGTCTTTTAATGTTGGTGCCTTGAGTCATTAGTCATGTTTTTATTAGTGTCCTAATTGAGACCCACAAAGTCTGTGTAAAGATGTTGGAGGGTCGGCGGCAGCATAAGTCTTTGGTTTATCATCTCATTCTGTGCTTTAACAGAATTACCTTTCTTTATGGCCCAGAAATTAAACTAACAGAAACTAGGCTGCATAGATGGGTTGGATTGGTATCTGGGAACTGGAGGCTGGATTCAGGTTTCTGGTTCTTTATAGTGTAATTCAAGCAATTTCAGAGCAGTGGTATGACAGCAGGGAGGAGGCTGTTGTCATCAGGGAGTGCTATTGTTGAGTGCTTGGTTGGCGACAATGTTTATGTAGATGGCACTCATCCAATTAACATCCACATGAATCCAGGGACTCAAGGTTTCCACGGAGATTGCTTTAAAGTTGATGAATTTAAGGACAAGGCCTCATATGGTCTCTGATCACTTGGATTGCCCCTTTACCTTAATTCAGCACTGCTCCATTCTAAATGGGTTGAGTCTCCCCCCCTTACTGTCCTGCATGCGGTTGGTCTTAAAATGTCTTCAGGGTTCAGGCACGTGTTTCCCCTTCTCTGTAAGCCCAGCTGCCCTATATAGGAAAGGCTTCAGGAACGAAAGGGATCAACAGCCATTGTTCTCCTTGTGTGCTTGGTGAAACCACCCTGTCAGCAGGACAGATCGCTGCCCACTTTGATCTAGATACAGACTACTCCCAACTACCATCTAATACATTTAACAGCGTGAAATGGTTCCCCAGGTGACCACAAATGTGTTTGTCAAATGCCACGGTCAAATCAGGTTCCCATGCCACGTCTGTCCACCGGCAAAGATTACATAACCAGAGTGCATCTCCGTTTGGCAACACACAGGAGCCTGCCTCTTTCTAATGCTTATCACACTCCACCTGTCAACTCCTAGTGTGTTGGTGATAAAATGGAGCCTGTTCTTCCTGCTCACTCATTATGTAGCGAATTTATCAAATGAGGCTGTTGCTCTGTCGTCTGCTCAGGGTCATAGGGAGAGCCAGGAGCAATGAGCAGGCAATACTGTAACAGCTTAATGAGAGTCTGGGAAGTTACTTGTGCAGATTTGATAACGTCTGCAGTGAGAGTGATAGTGTTAACAATGGTGTGGCCATCGGCATCTGAACTTGGACTACATGTTTTGGTCTTTTTGCAAAGATATAAGGTATAAATGTAGCATTTTTCTAATTGTATAAAAATAAATAGTCAAATATCAAAGTTTTTGCTGTTGCTACAGGTTTTTTTTTTGCCACCTTTCTTTGTAGCTCTCTGAGGTTATTAGGATCCCACAAATCAATGTGACAGCACAGCTCTAAAACCTTGAAAACATAAATTAATTATTCTATTCAAAAAGTTGTTTCAGTTGCTTTCCACAAAATAATGTTTTTAAATTTATATCAGTATTTTAAACTAAATGATTACATTCATGATTTGGTTGATTTAATTGTTTGTTTGTTTTTTTTTACATTTTGTTTTTCATAAGAAAATTGAAGCAGACTCAAGTCAAATGGGTGTTTTTTTTTTCAGCTGTGCAGCATAAATCCAGTATAAATATGTCACTTATTTTATGGTGGTTTAACAGATATCAGTGTTTTTTCAGGCTTAAACTTGAACAACTGATTTAACCATAAGGGTGTAACCGTGTAAGTCACAACAGCAATAAAATTTTAAAACATAAGGAAAAACAAAGGCCTCGTTGAGCTTATAGGCTACACAAAATGTTATTATTAATTTGCTGGATACAACTTTTACAGAGTGAAAAGTTGTGTGTGTGTGTGTGTGTGTGTGTGTACATATATGTATTGCTCAACTGAATAGATATTTATGATGCATAAAAGTTATCTGAATCATTACAATGGGTCGCAGCAGGACATGTCATTTACCACTCTTTTTTTCCCTCTCCTACAGGCTTGACAGACATCACATAAACAGTAGCGATGTCTCAGTCTGGAGAGAAAGGAAAGGTGAGTAAATGTCAGAAATTTCCTCACATCACAGTTTAGATTAAACTATGCAGATTTTTGGTGGGTGGTTTTCTAATAAGGATCTGGTGATTAAGGGCCATGGTACTTGTAATCTCTAACACACACGCCTTCACAAGCATCCACAGAGGATATCCTGTTTAAATGCAACTGTTTCATGGCTTGGCTTTATTGTGTGTTTAAAGTTTCTCAGTGATATGTATCATCATCAATCTCTCTCTTATACACTTCAACTGTACACCTAGACTTCATAAAATGATGAGGCAGGAGTTGTTTAGAGGATTTATCACATGAAAGAAATAAGCAGAAAAATGTCATGTAACATACTTATACTATGCTATCACCTAAATGCAAAACATCACATATACTTCTGACTAGTTTGCAGCTTATTTTTTGTAGTTTCTGATCCTATTTGTTTTTCTTGTGCTACAGTTTCCAGATGCTGCAGGTTATGTAGGGTTTGCTAACCTGCCTAACCAAGTGCACCGGAAATCAGTGAAAAAAGGGTTTGAATTTACCCTCATGGTTGTAGGTGAGTGGTCGAGTGTTCAAGTTTCAAAGTGGGCATACCAGAAAAAGTTTGAAGTACTCCATATGTTTTCTCTTGAAAGTACAGATTTATAGTTTAGTCTCTATTTTTCAGGGGAGTCTGGTTTGGGCAAATCCACATTGATAAACAGCCTGTTTCTCACTGATCTCTACCCTGAACGTTACATCCCTGGTGCTGCAGGTATGTCCACACACTCCCCCACACACACACACACACACACACACACACACACACACACACACACACACACACACACATGCACACTTTAATATTAAAAAAGGCCTACTACAATGTCTCCAGCAAAGTGTTATTTCAAGTGGAATGCTGAGAATGCTGCAGTCTCAAAATGTGACCCTGCCCTACTTATGACTTGACTTAGATTAGGACTTGGGCTCTAGCTTGAAAACAATTATCCAGGCCCTCACAGTTCAGAAAACACATACCTCTCTTATATGGCAAAACCGGCGGTTTGGGCCAAATCTGGTGTAATTTTTCTTATGATTTGTTTTAACAGAGAAGATTGAGCGGACAGTGCAGATTGAGGCATCAACAGTGGAGATCGAAGAAAGGGGAGTGAAGCTTCGTCTCACTGTAGTTGACACTCCTGGATACGGCGATGCCATCAACAGCCAGGACTGGTGTGTTTTTGTTATGTTTTTTTTTTGTTGTTGTTGTTGTGGGGGAGTTAGAACAACTTGAGACGTGTGCAGCGTGATCTCCTATCCTCCCCACCTGTCCCCGATGCGCCTTTTTTTCCAAGTTTTGTCTCAGGCTCCTTATTTCTTACCTCTCCTCCCCCTGCATTCTCCGTGTCTCCTATTATGTGTGTATGCGTCTGTAATGTGTCGGTATGTGTGCTTACTTGTGGGGCGTCCTACTGTCAACGTGGGCTCTCTGTCCAGGATACGTTTCCTGTTAATTGTGCTGGCATAGCTGTATTTCTACATTCTTGGGTCCTCTTCATAACAACTCCACACTTAATAAAAGGAAACGTATCTTCACTTACCTTTCATTTCTTTCTACAAGATTTGTGTGCCACTTTTTTAGCATTTAGATTATGAATATTAAATGGTAGGTAAATGAAACCAAATTTTAAGAGCTATTTAGAAATTAAAGACGAAGAGTAAATTTCGGACAACAGTTTAGACCAGCCGTCCCCTACCTTTTTTGTGCCACGGACTGGTTCATGTCCGACAGTATTTTCACGGACCGGCCTTTAAGGTGTCGTGGATAAATACAACAAAATAAAACCAGTACTGGTACCAAAAAAAAGGAAGATTTATTCATAACACATGGGAAAAGACCCAAGGAAACAGAGTTAACGATAAAAACGATAAAAAATAACGATAAAAAACAATCAAAAACCCTGAAAACCATAACTTTCACAACTCTCACATCCCGGTACCAAACGACTCATGGACCGGTGCCGGTCCGGGGGTTGGGGACCGCTAGTTTAGATTACTGAACTGAGAGAAGGTAAAGAGGTAAAAGTTAAAACTGATGGAATAGTATGATTTAAACATTAACGTTATGTATGTTTGGTTGCTTTGTTTAACACTGATAGAAATAGGAATGATGTTCATTCTACAAGTTGATTTTCATATTTGACTGTTTGGCTAGAAGATATAAAACTGCACCCATCAGCTACATTTTTTATCTTATGAGTCAGAAACAGATGGTGTGAAAATGGCTGCTTTCCTTTTTTTTTTTAAAAAGTAACACTGCTGTTGTTAGGGAGGTTGAGATGGTGTGCCAATTACAGCAACAAAACCTTTCATTTTAAGTTGATTCCATTGAATTTCCAGCTCTTACAGGGACATAAACCCCTTCAACTGGAAATGACCTATTCATTCAGTCATAAACCGGGAGGATTTATAATATCAGTGATCTATTGCCTGACATGTAAAACTACACTCTAAAGGGTTTTTGTGGGAGTTAAAGCAGGTTTCTGAAGATCTATATCATCCTGTGTTCGATTCAGTGGAAGTATGTCCTGGCCTTATTCTGAGAAACTATTTCTTCACTTTGACCCTTCTAACCTAATGACAGGTGTTTTACAGCTCTAACCTGCTCTTTGTGTATGAGAAAATCTAACTTGGAGTGAAAATAAGTTGTGTATTAAAACTAACAAATTCCTTACTGGTGCAGATAAATGTTTTTTGGGGGGATGGGATGTTCTGTATTTGATTTCAGTTTTAAGACCATCATCCAGTACATCGACAATCAATTTGAACGATACCTCCATGATGAGAGTGGGCTGAATCGAAGACACATAGTGGACAACAGAGTGCATTGCTGCTTCTACTTCATTTCTCCGTTTGGACATGGGTAAGTAAGCACAGACACAACACTAAAGACACCAGAAATGAGCTGACTTGTACTTAACACACTACTTTTAATCATGTTTGGTGGTTCTAAAACAGAACTTCCTTAATTTGGGTATTTCAAAACTACACAACTCTTGCTGTTTATGACATCTTTAGCATTAGCATTAGCGTTTTTGATTAACTTGAGTTCCTTTTACACATTTCAGTTCTGCTTTGTTTCTCAGTACTGTCATATGCTGTGAAAGGCAGTTATTCCTTGTCCAATTTTATCATTTTTGTCATTTCAAAACAGTTTTTCACTGTGTCCTAATTGCCCTCTTTGTTTTTCCTCTTTCCCAGTCTAAAACCACTGGATGTGGAGTTTATGAAGGCCATCCACAGCAAAGTCAATATAGTCCCAGTCATTGCCAAGGCTGACACACTGACTCTGAAGGAGAGGGATCGCCTGAAGAGGAGGGTGGGTTTGATTTTACACCCACAGACACATAATTTCAATCCTAAGATGTCTGTTTTCTGGTGTATACACCACATGTAATCATCTTTATTCAAATACTACCACAAAGCCCAAATGCCACTTACTAAAGACACTGTTAATCCAATTAGCAGATATATGTGTACGCCATTAGAAAGTGGCTTATAATCATAGAATGGAACAAAACAGTATTATATAGCTTATCTGTCTATAATGGCAGCTTAGCATGTCACACCTCTTTGCGTTCGTGTGAGAAAGCACTCGTGCACTTCTCCCTGTGATTGCGCTGATGAACGGCTTTAAGTTTTTGCGTTTCTGATGAAATCACCAGTTTCAAAGTAAAGGGAGGGACAAACCAAGAAAGGAAACAGTAGAAGGGATGGACTGAGGAAAGTTTGTTGTATATAATTTAGATGAAGCACATTTCATCCAGTTTCAACATGTCCCACATACTTCCTCTTGGACCTGACCCAAGTGTCTGCCTGCCTGCCTGCACGCTTCTCAGCTTCCTGCTGTCCACAGGGGAAGGACATTGTAGTACCGCTCATCACACACACTTCACAGCAGTGTGTTCAGCTGATAACGTCTTGCTTAAGATGATTTAGGAGGATTTTCCTCGTCTTTCCTTGTCTTATTTCCTTTTTTATATCTGTGAGACAACTTGAGTATTCCTTATTTCTGTGCTTTTTGTCTCAATTCAGAGAAAATTGGAACTAGTTGGTTGATAATATGTCATTTTCTGTTTTTATATAATTAATTGATTTTAATGTAAAGATGTTGCCTCAGACTGAGAAGTTACATCAGAAATTATTTTTGAACTTTAGCACTTTTTGTATTTGAAATGATTAAGTGAGAAAAAGACCCACTCTTTGCAGCCTGGTAAAAAAGCATATTGTGCCTCAGTTGCTAATAACTTTTTTTCTGTCAGCCCTCTTTAATTGAAAGTCAGCCTGTCTCCTCACCTTCCCCGGATGCCCAGACCTCCCACCTGCTTCTCATTCAGGTCTCGGAGCCGGTGGTCTGGCAGGCGTCAGGCTGATCGGCTGACCGGAGTCCAGCTCTGCTTTGTTCTCCCAAACAGCCAATCTGTTTTGTTAGAATCCTGGGCTGTTAAATTTCTTGAAATCACCGATGCAGTATCTTAGCAAATTGCAGGTTACAGTTGGTCATTCAGGACATTTCTTCTTGTACTCACTGAGACAGCAGGATTTAACAGTGGGCGCACATGAAAACTCAGTAACTGCACTTAACTCCAACTCAAACCTCAAGTCTGTTCCTTTGGCAGTTAAGAATAAAAATACCATGTTTCCTGCCACTGCTGACCCCCACCTCAAGCTGAAGGAAACCCCCAAGCTTTTTAGTTTTTTGCTCCAGCTGCCAGCCTTCAGCAGGTCAGCTGTCTTTATCAGAGTTTTGGCTCAACTTTTGTTTAATTTTGTGTGTATTTTTCTCCCTTTACTATAAAAGTTTAGCCAGGAGAAGTGAAGTGAGAAATAATGAGGGACAAGGGACTCTAAGGAAATACTGTAACAGTATCACTCTGATCTGACCTCTTTTCAGCTAAACTTTCAGTTTGTTCACATGCTCTGCTAAGTGTTCCCTTAACATACAATTCCGACTGTACAATGAGCAGCAATTAGCTGCAGAGTTTAACAAAACTGTCAAACTCACGCATACCCACACCCAATAAGATCTATAACATCTAAAGCGATGAAGAAAACAGGAAATATAGAGGATTAGTCAGCTAATCCCATGTGGCTCTCCAAATGACGTTCCTCCCAGTTTTCTCAAAAAGGTATTTCCTACCATCAGACCACACATTCCAAACATTATTAATACTAGTTTTTTGTCTGGTCAAGTACCTAAGGAGCTTAAGCATGCAGTCATACATCCTTTACTTAAGAAACCAGACTTTGACAGTTCAGTCATGTAAAATTTTAGACACATTCCCTTTCACACTTCCCTTTCTTAGTAAGATCCTGGAAAGGATTGTTTATACTCAGTTGATGGACTATTTGAATGACTCTCAATTGTCGGAAATCTTTCAGTCCGGCTCTAAGCCATTTCACAGTACGGAGACAGCCCTCGTAAAAGTTATGAATGATGTTCTGATAGCGACAGACCATGGTAAATATGCAGTGCTGGTCTTCTTGGACATGACTGCTGCATTCGACACAGTGGATCACGATTTGCTGATCTCCCGCTTACAGCACTGTGTGGGAATTTCTGGTTCAGCACTGTTGTGGTTAAAATCTTATCTCTCAAACAGGACCTTTTGTGTTAAGTTGGGGTCGGCTTCATCCCCTGTGGCCCCTCTGCTTTGGGGTGTGCCACAGGGATCTATTCTTGGGCCATTATTGTTTGCACTGTATCTTTTGCCTCTTGGCGCAATATTTCAAAAACATAGTGTCATTCCATCTACATGCAGATGACTGCCAGCTTTATTTACCTTTTAGTCATTCCGATAGTCTTCCAAGTCGACCTCTGCTTGACTGCCTTAGTGATGTTAAAGCATGGTGGCAAAAAACGTTTTACATTTTAATGATCATAAGACGGAAGCGATCTTATTTGTCCCAAATCGTGTTTCTGACGCTCCAGATGTTGATCTTGCTGCTTTGACTTCCATTTAAAGAGTTCGATCACAAATCTCGGAGTAAAAATTGATTCTGCACTTACCTTTGATGGTCATGTAAACGGGGTGGTAAAATCAGCATTCTATCACCTCAGACGTTTATCGAAGGTTAAGCCCTTTCTTTCCAAGCGTGACTTGGAAAGTGTTATTCATGCCTTTATTACTTCACGTTTAGATTATTGCAATTCTCTTTTAATAGGGGTTGGGCAGGGCACTTTGTCACGCTTGCAACTAGTGCAAAATACTGCGGCACGATTTTTAACTGGCAGAAGGAAATTCGACCACGTCACTCCGGTTTTGGCCGCTCTACATTGGCTTCCAATTGAATTTAGGATCTGTTTTAAAGTCCTTTTATTGGTTTTTAAATCTATAAATGGTCTGGCACCTGTTTATTTGTCTGATTTGTTGAGGCCCATGTCCCCATTCGTTCGCTTCGGTCAGCTGAGAAGCTGTTGCTTTCAGTCCCTAAGTCACGGCTGAAACTTAGAGGAGACTGACCATTCTCTGTTGCAGCTCCGATGCTTTGGAATAACCTCCTCTCCATATTAGACAAGCTACATCAGTGCCAGTTTTTAAGTCCAGATTAAAAACCTATTTTTATTCCCTGGCTTTTAACTCTGTGGGTAACTGACATTTTCATTAATTTTATTGCTATGTCTGGTTTTTGCTATTTTATTACTATATTTATATTTGTATTGTACAGCACTTTGGTCTACCAGGTGTGCTTTTAAAGTGCTATATAAATAAACGACGACGATGACGATGAGCTATCTTCCCTACATTTAAAAATGGCACCATGTGGCTCTTGGGAATGTATATTATTCCTACTGACTCTTGTTTGTTTACAATCTGGGCATGTACAACTTTTATCTCCGTCCTTGTATAAATGACTAAACTGCTGTGGCGCTTCTATGTGGGTTTTGTGTATTTCATATATACAAGGATGCCCTACTTTGATGATCGCAAAGCTGCAGTTTTTAGTGTCAGTATTACAATCTTTGGTCTTTAAATAAAAAAAAAAAAAGAAAATACATATTACAACACAGCTGAAGTTGAACAGAATTGTACTGATTTAACTGTTGAAGTTAACAAGAGACTCCTTTTAGAAAGTGGAAGCACATAAACTCTACTGCTGCTTTCCAGCATTTTGAGTTACATTAAAATGAATCATATACTGGGTGAGATCAAGAACTTCCACATCTTTTCCCATTTAAAAAAACCAAAAACCATACCTGATTTCAATGTGGGCTCTATGCACTTCAATGTTGCCTCCTTTTCAGCTCCCAGCGCATCTGCTTTCATATGCTCAACCTGTTTATTTTCCCTGAAAGTCCTACTTGGTGGTGGGATCATTGCCATCAAAGTCAATTCAGATTGACACAGGACTTGATGTTTACTCTGTACAAGTTTGGCAGTTCTGGTGAAATCGCAAACTTTCTTCTTCAAATAGTCAAAGGGACAGTAAAATGGTCCAAAATTGTTCAAAATGAAATTGGGCAGCAGAACTTTTCATCACTCTTTACATAGGAAATTATGTTGGAATGAAAATGATGGCTGACTAATTTACAATGAATTCAGGATATTTCACATATCTGACTCAGTAATCTGTTTTGGTTTTTTTTGCATGTTTAGAAGTTTGACGTGCCATGGTAATGTCCATTAATCTCTATTAAGTGTCTCTCGGGAAAATGGACGGGAGTATTTGTTGGGTTGATCAGATAAGTTCAAGTAGCTCTTAGGTATACGTGCCTGACTCCTGCTGTACAGTCCTGTACAGTATGGCACCAAGGCCTTCCTTTGAGGTCAGAGCACTATCAGCCAAGAACCTGCCAGAAAGCTGAATGCTGGAGAATGATTGATAACCTCCAGTGTTTCTCCCACACAATTTATTAGTTTGTTTTTTGGAGAGCAGTTTCTCACCGCTCGGAGAATTTGTTTCCCCTCCCTCAAAGGCTCGTACAGTCCTTTCCCCTATTATTAGTGGGAAACAGCTTGTATAGAACAATATAAATTTCCTGCAACGTGTCAAGACTGTTCCACTGACAAGACACAAGTAGCACAGCTCAGGCTCAAAGAACAAATTGAACAAGCGTTCACCGGAACTACTCGTCATTTGCCTGCGTTTTAACCAGTTCTTCCCTTCCTGGCAGTGCTTCCCCCACCAGCCTATTATTTTCTCGCCCTTCATCTTTGTGTCCTCTTTTTTTCTTTTTTCTTTTTTTTACGCTTGTTCTAATGCCAATTTCCTTCACCAGAGTCATCGTGGTCTCTAGCTCATAACTTGCCCTGAGGAGGGTATATTGAGGGTCTGATCCTCTCAGTCTGGGTCCCTAAAGTCATATCCTGTGTGGGG